TTTGATATTCTAAAGTGTGGAACGAAAAAGAGAAACTAGTCTCTGTGTTAGGAAAATTACTTGCATTAAATTGCGAAATAAAATGTTAATATTATAATTGATATTTAAATAATAATTCTAGGATTAGTATGGCTCATTTATAAGTAGAAATGCTTAGCGCAAGTAACCTAATTAAATTAGCATATCACATGCAATACGTATTGCACTGGGGAACTGGCAGTCTGTTTCCACTGTGCGATGTCAGCGTGTTGTCAATGTTCACGCCTAGCAGCCCAGACATTTTGTTGTTTCTTCTTTTTCTGCTTTTTGCTGTGAAGTTCTGCCGGCTCCGTGTATGTGCGTGTGCATGTGCGTGTGCTTGTGTGTGTTTGGCTTCTCGATTTTTCTGTGCAGAGAGCGCGTAACAGAAGAGCGCAAGAGAGCAGAAAAGTCGAAAACTGTTTGTTATTGCTGCTGCTGCATTGCCATATGAATGCAAGTGTGTGAGTGGGAGTGAGTGTATGTATGTGAAGCCAGTCAATGGGACAAATACAAACATAGATAGACACATGCACGCGCACGTGCACATACACACACACACACACACACACACGCATATATATATGTATATTTATGTACCTATGCTTTTATATATGGCTAGCTATAATAGGACTGCAGTCAACCGCACGTCGGTTGGCGCCACCTGTCGGTGGCTTGCCCATAATGCCTGAATGTATTTACGAGTGTGCAACCGAGAACGCAACACCCTTCGGTGGCGCCCAGGTTGATCAACTATTTAACAAGCAGGTGACTTTTGCACTTCTGCCACCTGTGCTTGCAATGGGGCTAAAAGTTGGGGCTAGCTTTAATGTCGGAGCAACACAACAACACTTTAACATCGCGTCGAAACGAATAGCTTTAAACGCACCTTAAGAACCCGACCATAATTCAAATATTTAAATCCACAACAAAAAACAAAAACAAAAACAAAAGAAAAACGCGAAAAATAATCGAAACAACAAATAAACGAAAAAAAAAAAGAC